AAAATGCAGGTTACGAATCGATGGAAAAATACAAAATTAATAATGCTAAATAATAAACCCTCCATCGACGATGGTATTCCATCTCAAATAGAACAAAAGTTATTCTTAAAAGTTAATTGTTACATGTGTTGGAGACTGTTATTGTTATTGTTATAGACATAGAATTTTCCATTCTACTGATAAATATTCAATATAAAGATAAGATCTTAGTCAAACAATAACAGTCAATAGGGGGCACACCAAGGGGGCCCCCTCTTCCTACATTATGCCACTGGCCCCCCTCCCTGCCTCCCATTATTAATAACCGGTGGTCCTTAATCATTCATTATATACATTTCATACAATTGTTAATTAATATATACATCACACTATAAACAGAAAGTCAGAAACAAGTGCTAATACTAAATGGTAGAAATACACAATAATGGAAAAAGGCTTTCAGTCAATTATCTGCCAGTATGATATTTGTATGCCAGTATATGATGTTAAGATGTATCATCTTAGGCCCTGTTCATATGAGCCAGACTAGCCTGCCTTGCCAGAATAGAAATTGTTATCATATGAGTCAGGATATTTGCAAACCAAGACACTGAAGATAAGCCTGGCTAACTAGGCCAGCTCGAGTCATCTAATGAGTAATGTCCATTTCATGTACTATATATACATATAATCACTGCATAATCTGCAATAGCACAACATATTTCAACTTTTCATGCACTTAATAATATTAACAACATGTTAAAAACAGTTGACTAGGATGTCAAAGGTTAGGTGGATGCATTCTTTGGAGGCAACAAACCCAATAATTATTAACCCAACAATTATTAACCCAACAATTTGTAACAAATATTTTATTAATTGACAACAATTATTTTATTATTAAATATTGATTATTTTAACAATTATTTTATTAAAATATTGATTCTCTTCATTGCTGAAATCTAACATTGATCATGTGGCAGTCCCACCTTATTCCTTTTTGCAGGCAAACAGGGGTGAAACTTGAAGGGGGTGTGGGGTGACACCCCCCCCCCCCAAAGCTGGATTGGCAGGGCAAATCATCTGGATTGGCAGGGCAATGAAAGGTTTTAAATGGTAGAATGTAGAGTTATTAAGTAGCTTCCAGGGCTTGCCAACTTTTTTAGGAGAAATAGTGCCCCCAAAAATGTTTGCCGCAGGGCATCATTGCCTTTCGCAGGGCAATTCTAACAGACACTCCCCCAATTGAAATGGGCTAGTTTCGCCCCTGCAGGCAAAGAAGCATCCACCTAGCCTTTGACACCCTAGTTGTTAATATTAAATCGACATTAACTGGTAATGTACTGGCAATGTGAATGTGCCCAAATTATGTCTGTCTAACGCCAGACGATTAATTACTCACTCGAGTCAAACAGTACCGTTCGAAAGGTTGCTTCTGATTGGCTCTCGAGCTAAGTTCGGTGGTCGTGGTGGTCGGCCAATGATATTGCCATCAATTTAACTTATTAATAATTATTGGAGTTGCATTGTTAGAACTGACACCGATTGAGTTTAACTATTATCTATTCAGGATGTAATAGAGTGTTATAATTGACAATAGATAAGATTAAGATAAGATAGCATATAACTATAAGGTCTATTCACATTGTGCATAGGGTGGCAGCATTATATTGACTATTGAGGCATTATACATGGCATATACGCAGTATACACGGTGTATACAGTGGTGACAGTGGTGGCCGTGGTGGTCGTGGTGGTCGTGGTGGTCGTAATATACTGAGGTTTTATACGTTGTATATATACGCAGTATACACGGTGTATACGGTGGTGGCAGTTGTCGTGGTGGTCGTGGTGGCCGTGGTGGTCGTAATATACTGAGGTATTATACGTTGTATATATACGCAGTATACACGGTGTATACGGTGTATACGGTGGTGGCAGTGGTCGTGGTGGCCGTGGTGGTCGTAATATACTGAGGTATTATACGTTGTATATATACGCAGTATACACGGTGTACAGTGGTAACAGTGGTCGTGGTGGTCGTGGTGGCCGTGGTGGTCGTGGTGGTCGTAATATACTGATGTATTATACGTTGTATACGCAGTATACACGGTGTATACGGTGGTGACAGTGGTCGTGGTGGCCGTGGTGGTCGTGGTGGTCGTAATATACTGAGGTATTTATTATACGTTGTATATATACGCAGTATACACAGTGTATACGGTGGTGGCAGTGGTCGTGGTGGTCGTGGTGGCCGTGGTGGTCGTGGTGGTCGTAATATACTGAGGTATTATACGTTGTATACGCAGTATACACGGTGTATACGGTGGTGGCAGTGGTCGTGGTGGTCGTGGTGGCCGTGGTGGTCGTGGTGGTCGTAATATACTGAGGTATTTATTATACGCAGTATATACACGGTGTATACGATGGTGGCAGTGGTCGTGGTGGTGGTGGTGGCCGTGGTGGTTGTGGTGCATGGTCGTAATATACTGAGGTATTATACGTTGTATATATACGCAGT